AGGAATAGCAACCACGGTTCCATACAACGATACCTCCATAAACCCTAGGCCATATATATCAAACCCTAAACCCTAAACCCTAAACCCTAGCTGCAACTCCAAACAAAAATATATAATCGCCCTAAACCCCTAAACCCAACGCGTAAACCCTAAACCCTAAACCCTAAACCCCAAACCCTAAACCCTTACAACTTCGTCGCCGCTTCCGGGTGGTGCAGTTCTGCCTCTTTTAAAGTATCCTCCGTCTGTGGGCCTGAGCTGCAGCAAGCGTTTGCGTTGCTGCTGCTGCTGCTGCTGTTGCTGCTGCTGCTGCAGCAGCAGCAACTCCGTGCTGGATGCAGCAGCACCAGCAATCTGGCGAACCTGCCAGCCCCCATCAGACAGCCCCACAACAATTCGACTCTTCATGCTTCTCATCTTCCTGCTGCTGCTGCTGCTGCTGCTGCTCTTGCTGCTGCTGCTGCTGCTGCCGCTAACAGCATCCAGACACAGTATGTCGCTGCGCACGCCGAACGACTGCAGCAGCTGCAGTGTCTGCAAGCAAACCCAAAACCCTAAACCCTAAACCCTAAACCCTAGGCACGGACTCCGGCACTGGTCTGCCGGCACCTGATAGTGAGTGCTACGGTTTAGGGTTTAGGGTTTAGGGTTTAGGGTTTAGACCTCGAATGAGAAGATGCGGACGACGTTGTCTAAGGAGGCGGTGGCCAGCAGCAGTTTGGGTCCTTCCAGTGCTGCTGGTGTTGCTGCTGCTGCTGCTGCTGCTGCTGGTGCTGCAGCAGCAGCAGCAGCAACAGCAGCAGCAGCAGCAGGAAACGGCTGCACCGCGAACACAGTCTTCGCGAAGCTGCTGAGGTTCCAAAGGGGGGCTGCAGGTTGTCGTAGATCCCATAGACGAACCTAAACCACAAACCCTAAACCCTAAACCCTAAACCCTAAAACCCTAAACCCTAAACCCTTGGCCCTCCGCCGCAACCTCAACACTAAAAAGCAGCAACAAGATGCACAAACCCCAGCGTTTGTAGACTGCAGGGGTTAATACGTTCAGCTGCAGAGCAAACCGCTCCAAGGGTTTAGGGTCTAGGGTTTAGGGTTTAGGGTTTAGGGTTTACCTGGTTGCCTGCAGCCGTCAACACCTGCAGCGTAGTCGATGCCTCGATCAGCCGCACGCACTCTGTGGGGTCCCCTTGGGCTAGAGAGAGGCAGCACTTCTGCACCCGCAAACCCTAAACCCTAAACCCTAAACCCTAAACCCTAAACCCTAGATCCCGTTCTCTACTGCGATGACACCCCGATCTCTCTACGGATTGTACGGACCAAGGGTTTATACTTGCTTTTTCTAGGGTTTAGGGTTTAGGGTTTAGGGTTTAGGGTTTACCTTTGTGCGTGTGTCCCATAGTTTTGCCGTGGCATCGTAAGAGCCAGACAAAATGAAGGGAGAGAAGAGCGTTGAGGTGTCTATACACCTCACGCTGTCTGCGTGTTCCTTCAGCTCCACAGATACATCGCCAGTCTCTAAACTCCACTCCCGCACAACCTGAAACAAACACAAACCCTAAACCCTAAACCCTAAACCCTAAAAACACCAAACCCTAAAAACCCTAAACCCTAAACCCTGAAGGGGAAATATGCGGTGGATGTCTTGAAACTCGTCTAGGAGCTGGGGTTTGTGTTTAACATTCCGCCTCCAGTTTTTAGGGTTTAGGGTTTAGGGTTTAGGGTTTACGGTATCATCGCCGCCAACAATGAGGGAGTTGTGGGGTCTACAAAACCTCAGCGCCCGCACGGTGGCGTCGCGAGGGTTTGTGAATCTTCTGAGGGTTTGGTTCGAGTGTACAGCCACCACGCAGCACAAACCCCCCTGGTCCCCCACCGCCGCGAGCAAACCATCTGCATACACAAACCCTAAACCCTAAACCCTAAACCCTAGCACGGTCGAGGGGAAACTGTAAATACAGATGCAGCAGAAACAGCAAAACAACTGCAACAACAGCAGCACAAGTCACTGCAGCTCCTGCGTCCGTTATCATCATATTCTAGGGTTTAGGGTTTAGGGTTTAGGGTTTA